TCTCTTCTTTGCATTTCCACTACAATCCTTCATCCTGCAGCCTGGAGCTGAGAGTGAAATGCAAGAAAGGAGCCGAGTGCTCAAAGCAAAAATCTGCTTCCAGGACAATCCATTATATCTGACAAGTTAAATGTTCCATGGTAGGCCATATGGCATCAGAGCAGGCCCGGCAATGGAAGAGAGGAGCTGGGCAAATGCATCACAATTAAGGAGTTTGGCTACATACTTTAGTTTGAATTACTTTTTTTTTTTCCAAATTGTCAATGTTATCCCCCAATTTTCATTTGAGCTCCTTTGAAATGGAGTTCCTTGTAAAAGATATTCTACAGTCTGGAGAAGGGAATCAAAAAGTTAGGGCAGGTGGGTTTCAGAGAACCTTGCAGACCCATAGCCTCGTCCTTTCGGTTTCGAGACAAATAACAAGTAGACACTAGCTGTTCGCTGGACTATTTAAATGAAACTGGTCATGAGGTTGGAACATGTAAATGAATCTGGTACAGCACAGAATGCAACCAGTTTCCATGCTTAAGTCTAAAAAATTAATCTTACACGCTCCACAATCAGAATCGGCATGTTCCCATTCCTTCTGTGACTTACTTTTAATATCTACCAAATGAATTACATGGAGACGGTACAACTACCACAAACACTGGGCCCCCTGAGCAGTTTGAAAGCAATCTAAGCCACTCACTACAAAAGCTGTGAGGCCTATATTAAGGATGTGTTTGTTGTTAGGGACAATGTAATATAAATCATATTAATACTGTAATCAAGGTTAGCATTGAGTTAAAGCTAGGGAAGGTGAAATCAATGAATGAAACAGCTACTATACCATGGCATGCTGTTTTACCACTCTTTCATATAAAGAAAACAAACATTCTTATTTTTTTCCCAAGGAATTCTCAAGGAAGAAATGGTCCCTTAATAAAAGATGGGAACGCTTTCTAAAATACACAAACTCATGTGACCCCATAGTAATTTTATCTACACTGTCCCTTTCTGGAGAAGACACATTCTTAAGCAAAATATATGGTATGTGTGTCTATGTCCTGTGTGTGTGTGTGTGTGTGTGTGTGTGTGTGTGTGTGTGTGTGTGTATAATAATGGGTTGGTTCTCTACAGTAATGATTACTGTTTAAGGTATTCACGGTGGTTTGCAAACATGAAATTCACAATGATTAAGAGAAATGCACACACATCTTTCCAAGAGAAGGCGCTAAGACTCATTTCCCTAAACTATGTTCACTCTCCATCTCTCCAGAGGGTCACTATTTCACTCAAATGCACCCGCTTCTGCCTTAATTAAGAATAGCATTGCTGCTAAGAGAATATATACTTTAGAAAAATGGATCCAAGCTTTCTGTTGAAAATTGTGGACACCTTTTTTGGTGGTCTAAAAGTTACCATTTAGTAGTAACTCAGTGCACTCAGGTATTTACATTTCTCTTATTAGCACAAGACAATTTACTAAATTATGGAAGCCAGTATGTGGGTAATGAGTTGGTAATCTATATTTTATAACAACAATCGTTACAACTCTACATAATATTGATCACTTTCCTAAATGTGCCCTATGACCTTCATCATAATATTATAGATAGGTATCAGAACTATTACAGTAAGTATTTTCATTCTACGTGTGCAGCTTAAGGGAAATTCTAGGTGGTTAATTGATTTGCATCACTATATACAGCAATGACATAAAAAAGAAGAAACAACAGCCCCTCCACCCCTGGCCCAAGCTTTCTTCTAATGCCTGCACTGTATTTTGCCAGGTCATACCATATATTACTAGGTAAAGTTTGACCATTAATAAAGCAGACATATTACTTAAGAATTAAAGTGTATTTACAGTCTACACTATTATTCACCTTTTAATAAAAACAGTCATTTTTTGGTACTATGTTACTGTCCTATGGGGGAATGAAGCCCGAGTCCTAAGCTAGGAGGAATGAATACACATTCCTCACAGTTACACTGGTTCACCCACATTTCTAAGATGTAGTCATGTATACCTCAACACCAGGGCAGGGCACGAGGCCGCTGGGTACTGCAGACCCTTCCTCTGCACCCAGACCCACATTGTTATTACTAATTAAAATGTCCAGATGGTAAAACAACACCTGATCCAAGGGGCTTCTCAGGACACTGACTGTCAACATTCCGCCATTCTACTGTGAGCAAACTCGCAAACCTGGCCTGCCTGAAGCTTTCTGTAGTTCCCAAACTATGGGCAAGAAACTGCTACAGCTTTCCCCATTGCAATGCCCACATTCAATTCAAACCTTTACTAAGGAAAAACATCTAATATTCAAATCACTACCATTTCTTAAAGGCTTATGTATGCTCACAGAAAGAGCATCATAGCGTAGCAATATGGTTGGGATTCATAGAGAGGGAAAAAATAAAACAGAAGGAAAGAATGAGAGGCAAGCTATTACCAGCATCACACAGTTCAGGTGGCCCTTTATCTTTTGTTTGATACATTTAGGAAAAACCAGTTAGTATGTATTTGTGTCTTTTAAGGCATTTTCTCCGTTTCCTTTCCGATGTAGGCATGGACTTTAAATCGTCATCATCAAGCAAAACTTTTATTATCACATAAGATTTGTAAAATTTTAGATTCCCATTTGACCCCTGAAACTCAGGATAGGCAGTGCTCAGAAAACAGCCTTCAAGAAATCACAAATGCTTTAACAATGTTTAAGCAGTTACTTCTTAATCCTAAGGGGATTCTTTTTTCTCAAGCAAACATTTTTTTTTTGCAAATATTTAGGCTGCTTTGATATGCAAATATTCTCACCCCCTGAAATCACTGCATAGACCCCAGGCAATAGGGAAACTTTGCAAGGGAAACAGGAGAGGTGGCTGGATAGGGATACTGGCATCCACCCCGGCTTCTCTGCCCACAAACAAATGTTGCTGTTGTGGCAATACCTGAAACAAATCTTCTGGGTGTCTGGGTGAACAATTGCTTTAACAAGCTCTGTCCTGCGGCTCTAATGTTCTCTGACGAGGCAATGGTTTCCAAGCAAGGTAACCCCAATCACAGAACCATAGGCTTCCTATTTCAGTGTTTTGTAACTCCAGTAAATGTGGCTTGCTTCTGGACAGTGGAAACCCAATCACTTCCAGAAGAAAAAACCCACAGAAAAGAATCTGAGCCAAAGGGGAAATGGAAAAGGCCACCCAGAGGCCGTGCCTGGGGTCCCAAGTCTGAACAGGTAGCCCAGAAGGGAAGCATTTGGCATAGTGGTCTCCCCAAGGAGCTCAGCAGGAGAAGTAGATTCTAGGGCCACCTTTTTCTCTACGAATAACTATTCTCGAAAACTTCGTTTTCGAGAAAACAAAACAAAACAAACAAACAAAAAACCAAGAGGGCAGCACACTGAAAACAACCTGGTAAACTCAGCAATGATATAATTTATAGTTATTGCAGGTGGAAACAGTCTCCACTAAGCAGGGTCCCCCTGCCTTCTATTCTCTCTTTTTTTTTTTTGGTTTTTCGAGACAGGGTTTCTCTGTGTAGCTTTGCGCCTCTCCTGGAACTCACTTGGTAGCCCAGGTTGGCCTCGAACTCACAGAGATCCGCCTGGCTCTGCCTCCTGAGTGCTGGGATTAAAGGCGTGCGCCACCACCACCGGGCCTTCTATTCTCTCTTTAAAAAAAAAAAAAAAAAAAAAAAAAAAAAAAAAAAACCTCAGAACTTGTTTGGGAAACCAGGGAATTCCTGGATAACAGGTGAACAAATCCAGTTGCAGTCTCTCTCCAGCTCCCTCAGTTACGACAGCCACCAGAGGTTAACCACAGGGAGAACAAAAGCAAACCTGGAATTATGGTCCTAGACCCACGCTGGGTGGGATTTAGGAAGGTAGGAATTGGGACATCCTTGTGAACTTGGTAGGCGGAGAAAGCTAACAGTGAGGTTATCAAAGCCAGCAGGAAGGTTCCCTGGAAATTCCAAGGATCTGTTTCTCAGCTATGAACCTGCGGGTCCTCACTTGCTTTTCCGCGCCCTCCTGCCATCCCTTCCTAGTTTACACATATTAGAAGTGGTCAAAGATTGCATCAAATGTGGGCTGGACGATAACAACCCAGGGCCTGAGGCCACGGTTTTTTTAAATGTGCACCAAATACAGATTTGGGTTGGGGAGAAGGAACCAATCACAGAGTGAAGTGTTTGAACTGGGGGCGGGGAAGGGGGTTATCTGCCACAGTTCTCTGCACTGAGATGGACCCTGGGAGAAGAAAAATCAAAAGCTCTACAAAGTGTCCGAATTAACCTCTCCTTTCAGATGGCTTACAGGTGAAATTCTGCCATCTGGATGGGCAGTTTGCCTGCAGAAAAAAAAAGAAAAGAAACTCAAGGGGGGGGACCCTCCTCTGCCTCCCGTTTTAACACAACAGATTTTTAAGGGAAAGGGGGCAGAGGCATGAAAATTGCCAAACATAGGCAGCTATGCACATGTGCGCACACGCATTCATGGATAAAGTGTGGACAAAAGCGGAGCTTGAACAAAGCAGGGGACCGAAGTGAAATGATCATCCTTGTCACAGTGAGATTACTAAGGGATAAAAACCTACTCGCTCCCGAGTGCAGAACAGGGAAAAGCATCACTGTAAAGTCCCGAGTAAGTAATGGATGAGATTTCCTACTTTACGGGAGTACAAAATAATAATAATAATAATAATAATAATAATAATAATGGCCAACATATCAAAGTTTCTATTGCCCTCTCACAAGAACTTATTTATTTATTCACAGTGGAAATGACAATTTACCTTTAAGGAAACAGGAAGCTGTGTTTTGGTAACTCCTGGGAGTTTTATCATTTCTAGTTGAAAATGTTTATACATTTTACAACTTATAAAAATACATTTTTTATCCCCTCTTCTTAGTCCTTATCCAAACCTTTTTAAAAACAAACCCCGAGAGAGCCAAAAGATCCCTTTTTTTTTTTTTTTTACTAATAATTTGTTTTTTAGGCTAAAGAGCAAATATGAAATAATGTCAGAACTAAGGATTGCTCTCCAACCTTGAGGGCCACAGAGGAGTTTCTGTTTCAGTCCAGGCTCCGTGGCAAGCTGACACCAAATGGCTATTCGCCAACTGAAGGTCCCACATTTGGAAGGTTTTACG